ACTCCAGACTTTGCACTTACAAGGAGCAAAACACTGTCTTATTTATCTTTATATTCCAAGTGCCTAGCAACGTACATCCAAAATATAAATTAATTAAGAAAGGCATAGAACACATTACTGCCTCTGCCAATTTTTCCCCAGTAGAGAAGTCATTTTCAGCCCTGTAAAGTCTCTTGTTCATTTAGTCTACAAAAGTCTAGCAATACGGAAAGAAACTATGCAGCTTTGAATATGCTAATCAACTGAATAACAAAATTAATTGCCTGTTATATATGTTGGGGATTGTGTTAAATATTGTGAGTCTTACAAGGAAATATAAGGCATATCCAGTCAGAATCTATGAAAGGATGAAGCATATAAAATCACTGATTTTTAGTAAAGAATCTAATTGATTTATCCCAGAAATGAATGTATAAACATTGAGCTATTAAAAATATTAACACAAGAAGACAACAAGCAAACATAAATCCCAAAACATGATAATGTGGATGGATAATAATGAAGCAGGGGGCTATAATGTGAGCATTCTGTTACATCTTGCCACAATTTAGAAACTCTCATATTATGTAATTTTTGAGTGTCACATTTCACAAAGATGCATGGCTAATTAAGATTAACAAAAATAGTTTGTGGTGCCTTTTGAAATACTTTATATTTTCGGCAGCACCAATTTTCTATTGTTTAAAATGGATTTAGAGTTGTTATGATGCAAAATTGAAGAGCACTAAGGACTTCCTCTGGTTTTCATCATAAAGAATGCTAAGCACGGTGGTTCATGCCTATAATCTCAACATTCTGGGAGGCCAAGGTGGGAGGATCGCTTGAGCCCAGGAGTTGAAGACTAGGCTGGGCAACATGGCGACAACTCGTCTCTACCAAAATAAATAAATAAATAAATAAATAAATAAATAAATAAATAAATAATAAAATAAAAATTAGCTGAGTATGGTGGCACGCACCTGTACTCCCAGTTACTTGGGAGGTTAAGGTGGGAAGATTGCTGGAGCCCAGGAGGTGGAGGTTGCAGTGAGCCCAGATCACACCACTGCACTCCAGCCATGGCAACAAAGACAGACTCTGTCTCAAAACAAACAAACAAAATAAAACAAACAAAAAGAATGCAAAATCCAACTGTGTATTTAAAGAGACTTTTATCAATCATTATCATTCAACATTTGCATGGAGGCTTCATTTTTTTATTAAAAAATGCTATGAGTGTAAACTTTAAGCATAATCTTATTCATATAGGATTTTTTCCCCAAAATCAATGACAAGGAGTATTATAATCAGAAAGTTTCATATAAAGTATTCATAATTTCCAGTAATAGATTCACATGTTAACACAAAAAGGTTCTAAAAGGATATTCTTTTGAATCTTGAACTTTTAAGATTTAACCAAAACATTTACTGTGCAATTTAACATATAAATCCTAAGTGGTTTTTAATAAATTGGTGGACTCCTTTAATTGTTTTTTATCATATCTAACTGTTTGTATGAAAAAGCAAATATATGAGATAAAAAAGACAGAACATTTAGCAGAAAATGAAATAAACAGGGCTTTAATTGTGTCAGAATCCCTTTCCCGGATAACACACAGTAGACCTTTTGATTTACTCCTTCATTTTAGAAGGAATAACTTACTCTTCAGTAGTTTCCTGAAAAGGAGTTAAACAGCATTGTTATTATTGTTGTTTTGAGACTCTGAGTGACCAAAATTCTCTTTAGGCTTCTCTCCCACTTGATTTATAATGTGGCTGAGTAAATATAGAATTATGGGTTGAATGTTATATCTCCTCAGAATTCTGAAGGCAATGGTCTTATGTTTTCTAATTTTTAATGCTGCTATCAGAAAGCCAAATGTTTTTATTACAACAAATCCTTTGTATGTAATCCATTTTGTTCTCTGGAAGTTTTAAGCTCATCTCTATCTCTAGTGAGCTGAAATTTCATAATTATGTTGGGCCCTTTAAATCTAGAGACTCATATCCATGTTCTGAGAAAGTTTTTAATATGATTCCTTCAGTAATTGTCTTTCTTTGTTTCTTTATTCTCTCTTCTGAATACTGAGCTTCCTGAATTGAACCTCTAAACTTTTAAACCTTTTCTCTCCTACTGTTACTTTATTTTGTTGTTGTTCTGTTTTCAGGGAGATTTTTCTCTATTTTCTAACCTTTATTCCAAGTGTAATCCAGTAATCTGCTTTTTAATTTTGTAAAGCTCTTTGGATTGTTGTACTCTGTTTCCTAACTGTTTCCTCATTTCTCTCTGCAGGCAGCAATCACCATTTTCTTCTGTTGGGCTGTCTCTTTCTTCCAAGGTCCTTTTATATGTTGTTCATTTTGGTCTCTCTCTGTTTCTCTTTCTCTCTCTCTCTCTGTCTGTCTCTCTCTTTTCTGAAGATTCAGATTCGTTGTATGGATGTTGCAAAACTGTGAGGTCTGGGCTTCTAGTGTACCCATCACCCAAATAGTGAACATTATGCGAGAGCTTTGCCTATTGATGCTTGGTTGGAAGTGCTGTATGGCCACTGGGTTTCACCGTATGAAGGTTTGGGCAAGGGGGTGGTCATCTAATTCAGCCCTACAGCTTTATATACCATATGTAATATGATGGCTCTAAAACTGTTTTATCTGAACTTCACTTATGAGCTCTAGTCTTTCAGCATCTCTGGTGGGATGTCTAAAAGGCATCTCAAACGTGAAAAGAAAATCAGAACTATAGATCCTTACCTGCCTCACTCTGCAAACTACTTCTTCCACAAGGTTTCCCATTTCACTTTTATACAATTAGGCAGGTCAAAAACACAGGTATAATTCTTTTCTGACCTTTCCCTTTCTTGTATACATGTACGGCAATTTAATCTATCAACAACTATGGTTCTGACTTCAAAATATATTCCGAATCCAACAACTTCTTACTAGTTTCACTCTTCCAGCTCTAGCTCAAGCTACTGAAATTAAGATCTCCTGCTTGAATGACTCCTCTCTACTTCTATTCTTGCCCCACTCCAATCCTTTTCCACACAGCAATCAGAGGCATCTTTTAAAAATGTAAGGCTGATCATGTGATTCTCCTGCTCAATTACCTTCACAAGCTTACTGTCACACTAAGAATAGAATTCAAAACCTTTATCAAGAACACAGCATCCTCCAACTATTCCAAGGGGAATTCTTAGTTTCAAACTCTCATTCTCTCTTCACTTTCCATATTTAATTGATCATCAAAATTTATCAGTTTTAATTCCAAACATCTACATTCTTATTGTATTTCTTGTCCATTGCTGCCTAGCCATTTTTCTTACCTGAATCACTACTGTAGGTCTCTGAATTCTATGCATGGGATTCCTCCCTCATTCCAGTCTTTTGCATTTTATATTATCTCTAGACAGAGTCAACATTTGAAATCAATATCTGCTTATGTCACTCTCATGCTTCTTTCAGACTACTGGATAGAGTCTAATTTGAGAAATACAAAGCTCTTCATGGTCTGACTTTTGTCTCCTTCTTGGCCTGACTCCCACTAACTAACATGAGTTAGTGGTACTCCATGCTGAAGTTATTAAATATCTTATATAGTTTCCTGGAACTGCCACTTCCACATGCTGTGTGCCTTTTTGGAATGTCTTTCCTTCTCCTTTCCTACTCCCAGGAAACCAGTCACTACCTCTAAGAGCATCAGTGTATACTTAAATTATGCTACACAGCACATACATGCAGCACACGTATGGCTGTTTGACTGTGGTCTATTGATTCCACTAGAGTAGAGTTTCTAACATACGGTCCATGCATGGGCTTCACAGCAAGCATCAGGAGAAACTATCCATCAATTCTCTAAAACTGATCATAAAACTTTGTATGCAAAGCATACTTGCATTGTCCTGGGAGAAAGTTTCACCTGATTTTCTATGACCCAACAGGGATTAGAAACCAATATCCTAGATAGTGAGATTCTTTAGGGAATAGATAAGTCTTGTTCATACTTTTTGTTTTTTAAATAGATGGGTCTCACTATATTGTCCAAGCTGCTCTCAAAATCCTGAGCTCAAGCGATCCTACCACTTCAGCTTCCGGAGTAGCTGGCTGTACCTACAGGTGCATGCCACCACATCCAGCTATCTTTAATCTCTGTATCTCACACTTATCAACCTATTGCATTGCATACAGCATAGTTAAAGCAACTGTACACAATTGCTTGGGTATGCTAGTAAGTACACACAAGGAAATATGCAGAAGCAATTGATATGTTATTAGCATATTAGGCAAATTTCGTTAGGTCCTTGTCCAGGCAATATACTTAGTACCCTCTAAGTTCCCTAAAAATATTACAGTTTCTTAAACAGACTCTAAAACTTATAAATCTCACCAATACATACTCATCAAATACATACTCTTCAAAATAAGTTTTTATCCAGTCTGTTAGTCTAAGCATAACTGCCACCACCTAAGGTTTCTTCTGTTTATTTATTTTACTTTAAAATATTGTACCCTTCATTTACTCACTTTGCATCCAGACTATAAAATGTAATCTTGATTAGTCAACCCAATAGATTTTTATAATAATCAACAGATAGCTAAGAATCTATATCAGGTTCTGTCTCTCTAGAAAGACTGGTACATTACTTCCAGGCTCAATTTCTCTATTACCTAATAATTGGCTCTTTCCAGCTTTAACAACTTTCTCTTTTAAACAGATGAGAGGAAAGAAACATAACTTTAGTTATGCTGCAGGCTGAAGGAGCTCTGGTTTACCAGGAAAGTCAACAAAGAAGTAATGCTTAGATAATCTAGTAAGCCCAGTATCCGTAGGTTACTACATTGGAATCCCATTTGGAAAGCTAGAGTGATAGATATGGCCAGAATAAGAAATATCACTTAAATACACTGGGAAAGAGGCAAAAAATGATAATTTTAGCAATGTTGTTTCATAACATTAGAGAAAATAAACAAAAGAGAAAAAATGAGGTATGCAGGAACAAGCTACCTCATATTAGATTTCTTACCATCTTATAGAGATCTGAGACACTAATCTGGTCCGAGTCCACTACTTCAAAGTCCTTCCGAGGCACCAGGTCCAGGCCCAAATGTCTAGTAAAGAGAGAGACTACATTCAGTATGCCATGTACTCATATTACTTATCTCTCTTTATGTGCCTGGGAACCCATACCTGCCACATCTTGTGGACAGACGATCAGACACTGTCCTAGCAGGAACATGTCTTTATAAAGCAACATCTAATTGTGTTCACTTCTGGGTAAATAAATGAGGCTAGGGATTTAAGGTTGACACAATTCCAGTTCAGGCAGTTCCACTCATGATGGTAAAAAGGTTTCATTCAGTATTACATTATATCAGCATGCTCGAGTTCATTAAGGATAGGTTTTCTTTAGATCAGTAATAAGTCATGTTTATTTTTCTGTTTCTCCCCATCTGACAAACATGCTCAAGGTTTAGTTATGCATTAGTTTCATTAGGATGAAAAAAAATCTTCAGGATGTAATTCAAAGACAAACACATAAAATTCACCTCTTAAAAGTTACTAAATTCAAAGAGATGTACCTTTTTCTCTTTATTCATTTATTTTATTTTTTATTTTTAAGTTCTGGGGTACATGTGAAGGATGTGCAGGTTTGTTACACAGGTGAACATGTGCCATGGTGGTTTACTGTACCTCACAACCCACCACCTAGGAATTACGCCCAGAATATATTAGCTATTTTTCCTAATTCTCTCCCTCCCCTCACCCTACCGCCAGATAGGCCCCAATGTGTGTTGTTCTCTTCCCTGTGTCCATGTGTTCAAAGAGATGTATATTTTGGCTGAGTTTCATCTCATTTTCAATTTAATTAATACTGATACTGGTAAAGACCTAGCTATGCATTAGCACCAATATTTTAAGAAATGTTAGATAAAAGTTTAACCAACAAGTATTACTACTCAAGACAATAGTATTTGGAGGATCTTTGGGGCAGTAAGAAGAAGTGATGGTAATGGCAGTACTGGGCAGCAGAAATAACTCTGGACATTTTGGGTTCAAAATGGTATCTAATTTATGGTCAATAAATGTTAGCTCCTTTTTCACACTCTAAGACAACAGTTCTAAGCCAGGAATTCAATGGAGTTTATAGGGTTGTAGACCTCTGAAACTACTTATGACACTGGATGAGTTTGTGTGTGTATTCATTATATATTTTTTCTGATGAGAGGGTCTATAACTCTCATCAGAATTTTGGAGACGCTCTGTGACCACCCTACTACAAAACAAGGGTTATGAATTATTGTGTCTGGCAAAAGCATTCCATGGGATTATAGAAGAAGAAAGATTTTTTTATATCTTCAACTAGACTATGAACTATTTTAGAACATGCTAGCACAGCTAAATCTGTAAGCTCTTTCTGTGCATAAAACTCGTCATTAAAAATAAAATCAGGTGCACATCCAAAATTCAGATTCATTTACAATTTATACCCCGTTTATAGGAAAATATGATAAAATTACATTGCAGTAAGGTTGATAAAGTAAAAATGGAAAATCAAACCTATATGGAGGAGGTATTATAGAAGCAAACGTACTAATAGCATATGCTAAAATGGTTACTAGGATTAAGAATTAAAATTTAGATGTACACTTTCTAGCAGGCAAGAAAAAAAGAAAAAACATGTTATTATATTATATGATAATTTAAAGGATAAAAACTAACATATTAAATGATAATTTAAAGGATAAATGACTATTAAAGGATAAAAACTTACGTTTTTCTGTCAAAGTAGTGTTTTTTTCTATTATCCACTAATTTAAAAAATGAGATTTTAAAGAGAAAAAAGTTTTGAATCAAATGTTAAAAATAACCCACAGTTTTGCATAATGAGATCAGTAACAAACTTTTGGCCTTATCCATGATGGTTTACAATCTAATGATAAAACTATGCCAACTGAAGTTGATGCATTTAAATCTATGAAATTTTATTTTTCTACAATTGGAATCCTGACTTCTTATATCAAAGAAACACTCAATTCCATCACCTCTTATTAGCTATTCTTCATTTACTTGAAACAATTTCAGGCCTCTGGCTTCTAACGGTTAGAGCATGCAAAGGCAGTAGTGTTCATGGAGTTTAAGAGAGAGCTGCAGTATATCCTTTCTACCTCTCTTCTTAAAAAAAGCAACTGACATTATAAAGATAATTTTGCAGATATAATCTCAAATATTTAAAATACTTCTAAGGAGAGATGGAAAAACAATGGAAAGATCACAAGAATATTAGCATTTTTATTAGAAAACTGAAATAGTACTATTTAAAACACTTTCAAAATTTTCTGTAGTCACATTATTTAAACTTTTTAAAATAATAAAAAATGAAGAGACAACATTTCATACATATTCTTTAATTATCCAAAATCTAAAAATATATGTGAACTAGTCTACAATTAGGAAACAACAACAAAAAAAAAGAATGAGTAAATAATATAATCAAAATAGGTGCTTTTTATGGCCAGGTGCGGTAGCTCATGCCTATAATCCCACAGTTTTAGGAAGTCAGGGAGAGAGGACTGCTTGAGACTAGGAGTTCGAGATCAGCCTGGGCAACTCAGTGAGACCCCCATCTCTAAAAAAAAATAAATAAATTAGCCAGGTTGTGATGACATGTGACTGCAGTCCCAGCTACTCAGGAGGCTAAGGCAGGAGGATCACTTGAGCCCAGGAGTTTGAGGCTGCAGTGCATTATTATTGTCTCACTTCATTCAGGCTTCAGGGACAGAGTGAGACCCTGTCTCAAAAAAAAAAAAAATGTTTTCAGCTGGGCGCCATGGCTCAGGCCTATAATCCCAGCACTTTGGGAGGCTGAGGTGAGTGGGTCACCTGAGGTCAGAGTTCAAGATCATCATGGTGAAACCCCATCTCTACTAAAAACACAAAAATTAGCTGCGTGTGGTGGTGTGTGCCCATAATCCCTGCTACTTGGGAGGCGGAGGCGTGAGAATCACTTGAAACCAGGAGGCAGTGGTTGCAGTGAGCTAAAATCATGCCACTGCACTCCGGTCTAGATGACAGAGCAAGACCCCATCTCAAAAAAAAATGTATTAGATACAACAGTTTAAAAAATATCCAGATGACACTTAAGTCATTAGGCCTAGAATTGAGTGTATGTGCTCCTCTGTGGTAGTGCACCACACAGTGATGGCCATGTCTGGAGACTGGTATTATAAGAACTCTATCTTAGCATCATGGCAACCTTAGCTTGCTTGTACAGTCAGCCACCCACCCATATAAATATCCATTCACCCCACAGAACTTTCTGAGGAACTATCATGTATCCTACCAATGGTGTTAGACATAGAGAATACAGTAGCTTTGAGTCATGCAAATGTTCATATTCTTCATGTCGATCCTCTCTTGAGAGCAGAGTGTTTTCCCTCTCCTAAAAGTAACTAGAGCACAGTATCTTTCAGTTTTGTAATTTCATTATCTTGAGAAATAAGAGAATAATTAATGGGTGATTTGGTAAAAACCAAAAGGAGTTCCTCCTGTTAAGACTATCTTTAATGGAGAAAGGGTAGTTTGCCAGTTATATTAGTGACTATCCTCATTTGAAAAAGGCAGAGATGTTGGACAGTGAGAACCAGTATGTGTTCACTACAAACTTCACTCTCAAAAAGAGGCTCCTGGCTATTTTTTCCTATGGTTTACTCCAAGAATAGTGAACATCGAGCACAGGGAATGGTCAACATGATCTCTATCTTCATAGCAAAAGATGCATTGCATTGCAGTATTCAGGAGCATGGGTTCTGATGTCAGTTCGCCTGGTCTGTATCTTGGGTATACCACCAAACCACACTGTCTAAAATCTACTATAATAGGCTGTTGTAAGGATTAATCCATGTAAAGGACCCAGCACAGTACCTGGCATTGTAAATTGCTACTGTTGTTTTAATTATTATCCCTATGTTACACTGTTAGCCAAAAAATGGCTTAGACTATAGAGATTGTGATCAAAGAAGTATGGCATCTGAATAAAAAACTCTTTAAACAGATGAACGCAAGCAGGGGGCAAACATCTATGTATATCTACATGCATATGTAGTACAGAGTTAAGTTTTCAGAAATGGTCTTACCAATTGTTTAGGTAAACAGTCTTCACAAAAATACTTGGTCTTCTCTCACCTATCATTGATCATTCATTCATTCATTCCAATAATCCAACGAATATATATTAGAACCTACTCTGTGCTAAGCTCATGTTGAACCTAGGGACACAGCAGCTAGTAAGGGACATAATCCTGACCCAATATTCTTTAAGTGGAGCTCTCTGAGGCCCTGAATCTCTATTTCTTTTAAATGCTCTATACTCTGTATTCTATGTCCTATTTTATCTTTTTCCTCTCCTCATCTGAACCACAGAATATAGAAAATAATCTGAAGTTAATTAATTATATACAATGGATACTTTAAGGCAGTGGTCCCCAATCTTCTTTTGTACCAGGGACTGGTTTAATGGAAGACAATTTTTCCACGGACGGTGGCAAGGGTGCAGGGTTAGGATGGTTTCAGGATGAAACTGTTCCACCTCAGATCATCAGGCATTAGATTCTCATAAGGAGCACACAACCTAGATCTCTCGCATCACAGTTCACTATAACAGGGTTCACACCGATTTGAGAGGAGATGGAGCTCAGGCAGTAATACTGGCTCACTGGCAGCTCACCTCCTGATGTGCGGCCCAGTTCCTAACAGGGGTCCGCAGCCCAGGGGATGGGGATCCAGTATCAGTTCAGAAAAGATGAAGATGTTAAGATTTCTTGTGGAGCAGTGCCCTTTTCTAATGCTTATAGTAAAAACAGCATACAGATAAGAACTATACTAATGAAAACACAGCATATTTATATTTATATAACATATAAAAAGATATAATTAGTAATTACTACCCTTTCCCAAACATTTACTTGGGCTATGTACATCATCTCTAAGCACTTTGGGAAGTAGATAGTATTAGACCCATTTTCTAACAGAGGAAGCTGGGGCCCACTGAGGTTAACTAAGTGGCCTTAATATTAAAAGAGTGGAGTTGGGCTTGTCTCAAGTTGGCTTG